TCTGTTGAAGCAGCAAGTGCTCTTACCTGCTGATCCGCTCTCCACCTCCCCCATGACACCATTTCGCCCATGTTTATAATGTACTTCGATCACATTCACTTGTGTGCTGTTGGTTCCCACTCCCTTCGGAAAATTTTCCCCTTGCATTTTGATGACTTCCTTTGTTTTCTAATGGCTTGAATACCAACATAATAGCATATCTGGATTGTATTACACTCGTTTACTAAGTGTGGGGGCCAGGGCACCTGTAGAAATCAGAGGTCAACAGGCAGAGGCACCTTGTGAAAACTACCAGCAGAGCAACAATCTGTAAGCAAAACTTCCACATGGCCTTTGACAGGAGGCTAAGAAGAAAATAGGAGGAAGCCCTGCAACTGCAGGGCAATGTGGAAATGGCTTAAGCTACATGATAGCTCAGAGTGAGTTTATCACCATTGGTGCTATGGTATGGCGGCTCATGCTGAGAAACTTGCATTGCAGTCTTTTCCTCTGGCTGTGTACAGGAATTACAAACCTTTGTCATTTCGTGAGAGCTTGGTGATGGTGGCAGAATCACTTCTTCTGATATTTGGACTGTTGCCTTGATTCCTGACACAAAGCTTCCCACCTCTTGGCATTCTCCAGGTGATAGGATCAACTTGTATTCTTTGGTCTGGTCTTTGGTGGGCAACTGCATAGTGACCAGTCCCCAGAAGAACCAAGCTGGAACCATGTTCTGTAACTGTCATTCTCGTCCCCCATCCTCAGTGAGAATGTTAGTTTGGAGTTAGCCTATCATGTTTACATGATAAAGACTCAATTAAAAAAATCTCAAAAAGTTTGGATTATTTTCATCCTGCTTTGTATTAACTGTCACCTTGACTCAAAGAACAACATCTTGATTCAGTGATTGTCTTTATCAGATTGGGCATGTCTGTGAGGGATTATCCTGATGGTTAATTAATATAAGAGGGTACAGTCTGCTATGAAGAGGCATGGTTCCCTGGGTGGGTGGTTCTGGTCTTTATAGGAAGTCTAGCTAACTAAACAACAAGCAGCTCCTTCATGATTCTTGCATCCGGGTTCCTGCTCTGACTTCCTCAATGATGGACTGTGAGCTGGAAGTATAAGCCAAACCATTTCTTAATTGCTAATTCTAAATTGCTTTGGTCAGGGTGTTTTATGACAGTGATGGGATGAAAGGATAACCAGGGGTCTTCTAGTTTGGCAAATATATCCATATGGAGCACTCTACATCCATAAGGCAATGTTCACGTACTTGGGATCCTTCCAGATCTTATTTCATGCTCGTGATCTGTTTCTATTATCCTCCATCAGATCTTTTGAATATACTAAACTGACAAGGGAGATAGCAAAACCCATAAGTTTTATGATCTCCTCTGTAAGTTAAACACAAGGAGCAGGTTTTAATAATGTCAGAAGCACAGGTCTAACACAATGGGCTTTCTAACTGTTAACTGAAATTTGCAGTGGAGGATCACTGTGATGGACTCAAGAAGTGTGTGTGTGTGTGTGTGTGTGTGTGTGTGTGTGTGTGTGTGTTACAGTGATATTGGTAATCATACATACTGGGTTACAGACCATATTTTAGTGATGGAGTCTATCTCTGCATTTAAGGGCAGGACTTCTACCCACTACATTCCAGTAACACCCTATCTCTCTGTTAGTTCTTGTGGCAACCCATAACCTTACCAGCATTTCCAAATGGATCTCAGAGTAAAAGTCACCCATATCTGAAAACCACTGGCTTGGGCTTATTCCCAATCAGTAGAACTCTGTAATTCACAATGATAGTCACAGAATTATACTTATGAATTAAATAAGCCTATGATGTAGGTGTGGACTGGTATGTACAGTATTAGAATCTGGGTCATTTGTTTGAACAATAGGTAGTCTTACATAGATCACCTGAAGATGTTATTCCTAACCTGTGATGTGTATCTCTCATGTAGGTTGGGGAAATGTGACATCTCAAGTGAGGCTTGTGGCATGATTGCTACTTCTCTAATCTACTGCAAGGTGAAACATCTCTCGTTGGTTGAAAACCCCTTGAAGAACAAATGAGTGATGTTACTGTGTGAATCCTGAAGCATCCAAGCTGTGTCCTGGAGACACTGATGTGAGTTGGTCTGGGAGAGCATGCCCTGGAGATATTGCAGAACCCTGCACATGGGTGCAGCAATCATAAAAGTGGTCAAATACCCACTAAGGAATGCATGAGGACAAGGGATGTGTCACTAGACTCAGTCACTTGTCCATGCCTCAGTTGCCAAATAAGTGGGAGCAAATGCAAACAGATACACCATGAGACCAACTTTAGATAAGGCAATACTAGCTCTGAAATTCCCTATATATAATTTTTAGCTTAATGAATATGATTATTATGGGTGGGGGGAAATCATTCCCCCCTGGGAAGAGATTGGATACCAGGCAAGAGGAGAATATAAATAAGAAAAAAATTCCTTTTCAAGGCAGAGCTTCCTCCATCTTACCTAAGTCACTGTAAACTATCTCCTGCCCTGAGGTTGAGGTTGGTTGCTCATGGTAGCAGAATACCAGACTAATATTGGGATCTAATTGCTAGCAATCCACGGAGTTTATTTAATGATCAATGAATTTATTTGGGGTTTAACTCACAACCATAAGGGATTTATCATAGTCTAGGAGAGCTGAGCTATGTCCCACGCTGAACGTCTTGGTCCAAGACTTCAGCATCCAAACCATGAGGCAACCAAGAGACAGATGCATATATGCATTCTAGGTCTTATGAGTCCCTGGGTGGCGATGCCCCAGGGGCATGTTCCTCAAGGTCATAGGCAGGTGTAACAGCTACAGCTGCCTCACTAGGGTCAATGCTTCAGGGTATGGTTCAAACAGCTACCCACCACAGACTATTGTCCCAGGGAAGCCATAGTAAATAACTTTATTGTTCTATCAATCAAAGGCCTTGGGATGGGGAATTACTCAAAGATACCTGGGTTCGTAGAAGAAAAAGATTATACAAACACAAAATTAGTTGTGTCCTCTCTGACCATGTATTCATGCAGTAGTATGTACACGTGCAGCTTACAGACATGAACATGAATATAAATTGTAAGAACAGTGAATATGGACCATTATGGAGACATCTATTTATGGAAGAAAACTAGTGCAGATTAAGTAGCTCTTTCATGAACTGCTTATGACTAGACCAGCAATGATCCATGTTCCATTTAAATTTCCTTTGGAATATTTGCATATCATGAGTCTTGGTAATGGTCCCTAATTCCAAACATGAAATTTATTTGCATGATATATAAAATATGTGCACATGCCTTGGAGATATTTTATATAATACTTTCAGTGCCATTGTTTTTCGATCTGGGCTGGATACATGAGAGCACTTGTGGAATTTTCAAACTGTGTACCATGTGAATGCATGAGCAGCAGAAGCCAGAAGAGGTCAATAACCCCCTGGAACTATGGTTACAGGAGACTTGTGAGTATCATGTTGGTGTTATGTGGGTGCTTAGAACTGAACCCCGAGTCCTCTGCAAGATCAGCAAGTGATCTTAAATGCTGCATCATGTCTCCATTCCTGATGTAAAACTTGTAAAAGAAAAGAAGAAAGATGCATTACAAAAAGTTGAAAGATATTTCAGGAGAGGTAGGAAAAAAATAGCTTTTGAAGACAAAATTATTTAGTTATTTAATTACTAGTTATTATAGAGTAGCTTGAATTAAATTACACATGGTGACTAGTAATTATAAAGAACTGCATTAAGCATGAGTTATTTCAAATATTATCTAGTCTTTAAAACACTAGCCTTTAACCCACACAAGTAACAGGATGAGGAAAAATATTTAAAAGAAAAGTGCAAGACTGGGCTGGGTAGTAGCTAAGTTGGTAAAACCCTTGCCACTCTAGCCTGATGCCCTGAGTTTGATTCCCAGAGCCCATGTGAAAAATCCAGGCATGGTGACACACTGCAGAAGTGGAGACAGCAGGACCCCTAGGGCTCACTGGACAACCAGCCATGTCTAATAAATAAGTTCCAGAAAGTGAGAGACCCTGTCTCAAAGGAGGTGGGTGGTGTTCCAGAGTGTGACACCTGAGCTTGCCCTCTGACCTCTACATCCACATACACCTGCACAGAGACATATACACACTCATGGACAACAAAAAGAAATTAAAAATGTAATGGAAGATATTTCACGAGGGCAGGATTCTGCAACATGCATGGTGAATTTCTGATATTGGTGGAAGAATTAATTGATTGTTTTGCAAGTAAGTTGACAAATCAGTCAATTTTGGAAACATTTGTGGTGATCTACAACCTCAGGTTTTCAAAACTTTTGTTTAAAAATGTTTCCATCATGTGTGTATACTCACACACATATGGAGGACAGAAGACAACTTATGGAGGTTGGTTATTTCCTTCCATCATGTGGGATTGAACTAGGGTCCTCAGGCTTGGTGGTAAGGGCCTTTACCTGCATGTGGAGCCATCTCACCAGCCCATTTCAAAATTTCTTCATGCAAAGTGGAGATTCAGTATAAGGAGAACATGACAGTCTTTGCAGAGGCATGTGATGCTGTGACAATGAGTGAGCTGCTGATGTGTGACCCTCTTTGCAGGTTGTCGTGTTGCTGTCTCAGCTTCAATGCCTGTGGCCATCTCTCCAAAGCCCTGTTGTGCAACAAATACCTCTCTCTTCTTGACCTGGGGTCAAACATCCTGGAAGATACTGGATTGAACTTTCTGTGTGAAGCTTTGAAGGACCCAAAGTGCACCCTTCAGGAGTTATGGTAGGGCTGTGTTCTCATCCATTATGGGGAATGTGGTTTTGGATGTTGGTGTTGAGGAGTAAGTAGGAGGGGAGAATTGTGTGAATGTCAGTGTCTCCACAGAGTCTGTGGTGAAGCCGACCACTCATGACCCATCTATGGCTCAGCATTCATATTCACTTGCTCTCAGCATTTTTGACCAGTTGTGAATCTGCATTAACCACTACCTATGGCGGACAAAAAAAGGGGACTTCTTTGACCAAGGCTGTGAGTACAAATCTATGGGTATAAATGTAAACATTTAGATGATAATTTCACAACATGCCATTTAAGGGAACCACAGGAATCACAATAGCTTTCCCCCTAGGGTCTGTGGTCTCCTTCGTCATGGGATTTTGACAATGTTTACAGCAGCAGACATTAAATCTCCCCTGTGGAACAGGGTCAGTTTTCTTCAGGGATGTGGGCCCTGTAGGTTGCATATTCTCCAGAGCATGCACCTACATCCACACACTTGTGAGCATCACAACTTAGACTCAGTGAGCTATTGGAGAAGAAAAGGACTTGAAGTTTGGAAAGGAATGTGGAGGAGAATGGGGAAAGGATATGATCAAAATACATTCTCTCTATATATGAAATTATCAAAGAATAAACCAATAGATTTTTAAATATAAGTGTAAAGATAATGAGTGTTTGGTAATTTTTATTTTTTAGGTAAGCTTAGTGATAATGGCATGGGTGGAACAGGCAGTGAGAACAGATGAGCATCAGATATGTTCATGGGTGAGCTAAGATGTAGGACAAGCTTTAAGTATCTCATAGAAAGTGAGTAGGGACACAAAAGGGAGAGGCTTAAGATTATGAGATTGGTGACAATGACATTATATTAGTATTCACAAGTTTGAGAAAAGCCAACACTGTATTAAGTTATAATGTATGAATAAGGAATAATAAACATCATGGTTAGACAATTAAACAATGAATGCCTGAAAATAGTCATTTATACTTCAATGTTTTTTAACTTTAATCTTAACATCTTGATAGATTCTTTATATTACACATCTCTATATATGAGAGGGTCCCTGCTCTCTGGGAGAGAATCACGCCTTCTCTTGACACTTGGTACATTTATTCATTCATTCCTAGAGAAGGGTGACAGGGAGGTCAGCATAGAGGTAAAGAGAGGCAAGTGATTGTCAACAAAACTTGGGATGCTGATATGGCTCAGTGGGTGAAGGCACTTGCTGTCCAGCCTGACAACCCGGGATCCACATAGTAGAAGGGGGAGGATGGACTCCCATGAATTGACCTCTGATCTTCCATGTGCACTGTAGCATGTGCCCGTATAAACACATACAAATTAGTAAATGTAATGAAAATAAACAGCACTGTCTTTTTCACTCCAGACTGGACAAATCTGCATTGACTGAGGAGTCACAGATGCTACTGCAAGCTGTGGAAATGAAGGAAAAACTGGATATCTTACATTGTCCCTGGGTCAAAGAGGAAAGCGAGAGGAGGGGTGTCTGTCTGGTATGGAACAGCAGAACAGATGTTGAAACAACGTCTTTTCCTTCGTCATATTTCTCCTGTGTACCCTGTTCCAAGTTGCACACCTGGTACTGGTAGCTGATTCCAGGGTTGTTCTTTCACAGTGTCCTGCCCCCATCCGTCTTTATACTTCCCCTCACCACTTTGCAATATTTAGATAACAAATACATTCAATAAACTCTGAGCATGTTTGAAAACATGAATGAGTCCTTAATGGCTGTCTTAGAGTGTTGGGGTTTGAACATGAAGAGACCCCGATTCTCTTACAGTTCTGGTTGGGAGTCATGTTTGTAACATGTCTACACTGGTGGTGTTCTCAGTGCAGTGAACATCCACCTGAACTGTAGTTCATGCCGTGATCCTAAAAGACACCAATGTCACAATGCAGAAAATGGGAAGCACAAAGATCATATCTAGAATCCCCAAAGTTAAAATCAGGAATCCATACTTTTGGAAAAGTGATCTCAAAAATTCTTTTTCCAAGTTCCAGGGATCAGGCCTAAGGTTCACCCTTTATTCCTTCAAAGAAGGGCTGGAAAGATAACACAGTGGTTTAAAGTGCTCCCCGCTCCTCAGAGGGCCAGAGTTCAAACTCCACCACATACATTGTGTGGCTCAAAACTGCCTGTAACTCCAGCTCTAGGGTATCTAATGTGCTTTCCAGGCTTCCACAGACACCTACATGCAAGCACACAGATTCACATATATACACACAAATAATAAACCTCTAAAACTTAAGATTTTACATGTTAACTGTTAGTCACTATTATGTTGGCTGTAAATTACCAAAAAGAACTCAGTCCTATTTAAACAATATTTTAAATTTTAATTTTAATAATCTAAACCAGTATTTATCAACTTGTGGGTCCCAACTTCAAAGGGGATTGCATATCATGTATCCTGCTTATCAGATATTTACATTATGATTCATAACAGTAATGAAATTACGGTTATTACCCTTTGTTCCTTATAACTAGAGATTTAAAGCTCAGGCAGGCATACTCTTCTCTCTGCTGACCCCCTTCAATACCAAAAAATTCGTCACCACAGTTGTTTGAAAGCGACAATAAATTAACATTTTATTATGAATACCTTACTTGCAATTCAGTTTTGGAAACCAGGTGCAGATATGTCTGCTCTAGACTCAAGTTTTTTAAAAATTATTTTGCTCTGAGTTTTGTGATATGAACCACCTGGCAACTCAAAAGGATAGTATTCCAATCTTCATTCCATTCCTGTGATAAAGCACTGACCAAAAGCAACATGGGGAGGGAAGGGTTTATTTGGCTTACAGGTACATTATCATGGGAAACTGAGGCAGGAACTAAGTAGAGACGGTGGGGGAATGATGTTTATTGGCTTGTTCCCTGTGACTTGCTCAGATTTTTTTTTTCCATACAACCCAGAGCCACTTCCACAAGGATGGCACCACCTTGAGTGGGCCGGGCTCTCATACAGACCAATCTGATGGAGGCATTTTCTCCATGAGATTTCCTGGTCCCAGATGACTAACTTGCATCCAGATGACAAAAAAAAAAAAAAAAAAAAAAAAAAAAAAAAAAAAAAAAAAAAAAGGCACAGATAGATTTTTTTTTAAGTTTAGTAGGTAACACCCAGAGTCCTTAAAATGGTTAGAGTCTTTCAACCAGACAGCCAGACATTGGTGGTGCACACCTTTAATCCCAGCACTCAGGAGGCAGAGGCAGGAAGATCTCTGAGTTTGAGGCCAGCCTATTTACAGAGCTAGGTCCAGCACAGCCAGGACTACACTAAGAAACCCTATCCTGGATGAGGGTGTGCAGAGTGGTGAGGGGGTAGGTGGATGGGGGCATTGATCAACATCGTGCTGACCAGGGGAAGAGACCAGGATCCAGCTTCGACATCTTCTCCTGATAGACTCTGTCAAAGGCTTCACTTTGAGCCACAGTGAAGAGATTCTTCCAGTCACCACAGATGCCTGTCAATCCAACACAGAAGGAAAAGCACCAGGAAAATGAGTCCAAATCCCACTTGCACAGCCAAGCCTGTCACACTCCCACCTCAACCATCCAGTTAGTATTTTCTCTCAAGACCAAAATGAGTCATCCTACAGTTTTCTGCTTCAGACCAACTGCCAACTGTCAAAACTATGTTAGCACAAAAGGGACAGGGCTTGCGATGATTTGAGGTTGGTACCTGTGAGCGTCCGAAATGTCAGATGGAAAAATCCTAGTCTTGAAACTTTGAAGGAAAAACTGAGGGAGTTTTCATACCTGCACCTCAGTCCTGCCCGCCATGTGGAAAAAAAAATAACAACTATGTGACAGAGATACAGGGTACAAAATGGACACTGAAAGTTTGTGTCCTTCAACTTTTTTTACAACAAAGTTTGTATTATACTCAAGGGAATATGGTTAAGTTACACAATGCTGTGATCAGAAAAATCTCCGCTAGGAAAATGGATGTGTTCTACATCACTTTTCTCCATGTGGGAGATTTTTGTAATCCGTTTCCACTGAAATACATAAATAGTCCAGTGTCACAAACATCTCCCAATATTATGACTTTTTTAGTCATATATGAATCATCAAGCCCCACCACCCTGGATCCCTGAACATCAGCAACATATTCTCTGCCTCTACAATTATTTTCTATTTTATGAATGTTACATAAATATATTGTGTGTAGATTTGTTGTTGACTCTTGTCGTTCAGCATAAGGCCACTGGAATCCATCTATGTTGCTGCATGTGTCAGTAAACTCTGTTACTGACGAATGGCGTTGTATCTGTCATGTAGACACATGGATGTTTGCATGGGTTATCTGTTGTAAACCCTCTGAACTGAAAGTCCTGTTCCTGTGACTACACCTCTGGTTTCTTATAGACGTGGATCATGTCACTGAGACTGACTGAGTCTTGATGGACTTGTCCATCGCACAGGCAGAGCCAGGAGGGCACAAGCACCTCTCACTCCTTCTCTGCTTAACCGTGGTTCTAAGGAGTCTCAGTAACGGATTTGTGGGCATCGACTCTTCTGAAAGAATGTGATGGAATATGACACTAGCTTCCAAGCACGTCTGTTTTCATGACTCATGCTTTATGCAAATATCAAAAACCTACCCATTTCTACAACACAACCTTGACACTCTATCTTTTCTTACCCTTTCTCAGCAATGGTATATTGGAGACGGTGCCATCTTTGGGATTTCTTAGCATTATGCTGTTGGACATGCTATTCTCTTTCATGACTGAAAAGGACAAGTTT